GCCGGACGTTGTCCGAAAGAGGCGCGTTATCGTGCAACGTGCCGGTACGTTGCGCGCCGTTCTACCTCGTTTTTTCATTCGGACGTTCCCCGTGCTTGGCGAGACGCGACCGCGCGAACGGTACCCGCTTGGCTCGAAAATTGAAACGCGCGTTCGTCTTTTTGCGAGTAACGCACGATCGTCGATCACCGAGTACGGTCGGACAGCCGCGTACGAGAGGACGAAAGGAAGGTAAAGACAAGGAAGAAGGAGAAGGGAAAAGAGAAGAGGAGGTCGACTTTGCATCGGAGCTTCGTTCTAGAAAAACGCGCGAGATCGTTGGCCGGATCGCTCGGTCGGACGATCGCGTTACGCGCCGCCTACGACCAAACAACGACGACGGCGTTCCAGGCAAAACGCCGATCAGCGAATCGTTCGCGGAACTAGCGACCACGCGAAGACACCGGCGACTCGATCGCGATCACGTCCACGATGTGGCAATCCGTACGAAAGCGACGAGACGAAACACCGTCTCCGAAGGTGGAGGACGAACGCACGCGCGCGTTCCACGATGCGGTGTTCTTACACGATCGGCGAAGAGGCCGGCTCTCGACGAGTAACTGGAGGTAAGTGGCACGAGCTGTCGCGTGCAAGCACGCCGTGGCGGAACGACAACAACGGAACAGGTGCGTGGAACGAGAAGGGCCAGCGCGCGATCCGGCCGCGCGTGCGTCGGTATGCGAGCACCTTGAACGCGCGAGCTGGCCTGCCTCTCTACCTCGTTGCTCGTTGTTTTACGCGTCGGTGCCGGTCGAAGGTAACCGCGAGGGCAGAACAGGGAAATCGGAAGAAAGAAGGAAATGGAAACGGCGGGAACAGCCGAGAAATCGAGAGGAGATGGAAAGAAAAGAGAAGAAAAGGAAAGACGGACGGGAGAAGGGGAACGAGCCGGCGAGTCTTGGACGATCACGATCAGCGGGACAAAGCGGATCGCGTCACTGGCGACATCTAGCACCGTGTTCTGGGCTGTCAGACGGCTACGCGCCGCCTTCGATCCTGTATCGTGCGCGACCGTTCTCTTCCTCCTCTTCTCTTTAACCCTGCTGGATCGAGCGCAAATTCCACGCGCCACCACTCGTTCGATTTCGAATAATCGTTGGCGAGCTGCACCGATCGATCGATCGATCGTTCGATTGCGTGCGTACGTCGCGGCTACATCCTCGACGTCGACCGCGTTACATCGTCACAGGTGTTCGTCGTTTCGTCGCATCGACGTTTCGTTCTTCGCGTGGGATTCGCAGGATCGCGAAACCGGCACGCGCGAACGTATCGTTCGGCAAACCGCGCGTTCCACGCGTTCCAGAATACGAAGCACGAAAAATTCGCTGGAATCGGAACGAATCGACTTACCGGAACCGTCGACGTCGACTCGGTCGAAGTA